TAGGAAGGGGAGAGAATGGTGGTGAGGAAAACCCAATTGGTAGGTTAATGCAACAGACTGAACAATGAGGATGAAGGCAATAAAAAAGAATCTCTATGAGAATATTTATTTGGCAATCATTATGTTGGAAACAACTAAAAAAAAAAAAAAGAAGAAGAAATCAGTGATGACTTTAGGATTCTAAACCACAATGGTATGGGAGGTTGAATAATGGCCCCCCAAATATGTCCATATCCCAATCCCTAGAGATGTGAATGTTAATATACATGGCAAAAGGAACGATGCAGATAGGATTAAATTAAGAATCTTGAAATGGGGAGATAATCCTGAACTACCCTATGTAATCACAATGCTCCTTGTAAGAGAGACTCAGGAGGAGTCAGGGCAGAGGAGAAGGTGATGTGATGACTGAAGTAGTGATGTACTTTGAAGACAGAAGAAGAGGCCACAAGCCAAAGGATACAGGCAGCCACCAGAAGCCGAAAATGGCAGGAAACGTTTTCTCCTGATAGCCTCCAGAAGGAACCAGCCCTGCTGACACCTTGACTTTAGCCCAGTTGATTTCAGAATCCTCGCCTTCATAAATGTAAGAGAATAAATCTGTATTGTTTTAAGCCACTAAGTTTGAGGTAATTTATTACAACAACTATAGAAAATATAGCTGGCTAGAGGAATAGGGATGTCATCAAGGGAATTCGGAAATCCAGGAGAAGCAATTAATTTAGGAAAAAGATATTTCATGTCTGTACTTACTAAATTAGACAGATCAGCATGAAAATCAGATGGGATATCCATGAGGCAGTCGGAAATGAGAAAATGATGCTTAGGAAAGAGGTCAGAGCTGGTGAATACAGATTTGGAAATAATATGCATTGAGGCAGTAGTTGAGGGTATGGGAGTAAACATGATAAAGGGACAGAGATACAAAGAAAGAACAGAAAAGAACCAAGGAATAAAACCTAAGAACTCCCACATTTAACAAGTGTCAATACAATGGAAAGGAGCCATTAAAAATAAAGTAGGATATCTGGATAATGGCAGGGAGGGAAGCCTAAGAGAGGAGGCAAAGTGGGAAAAAAGTACACTACAGAAAAGTATATACATTATGAAAGAGGTAAATATTTACATGCATGCATGTGCATATTCACATGTATGTTTGCACTGGCATGTATTTATGTACATAGCAAAAAGGTCTGGAAAGTTTCCCATCAAACTGTTAAAGGTAGTTAACTGAGGAGTGGGACAAGGGGAAGGCAATAATGTGAGGAGGTAGACCTGTTTTTCCTACAGTAATACATTTTTGGACTGTAAGTTTTTTTTTTTTTTTACAAAAGTAAGCACTGCTTTTGTAACTTCTATGAAGTGGAGCTTTATAGAAACCAAGAGAGGGCAGCATTTCAAGACGAAAAAGTAAAGTATATCAAGTAGTGCATAATGACTAGGGAAATTTAGGACTGTCAGAGGATCTCTAACTCAGCCATGAAGAGATCACTGTTGACTTTCTGTCAGGGGACAAAGGATGCCAGTTGAATTGCAACGGTTTAAAAATGAATAGAAAGGATTCTGCTTCCAGTAATGAAGTAGAGTAGCTCATTTCAGACCAAGCTTCTTGCAGATAATAGCTATAAACACTAAACAAAACCAAAAACTAAAGGACAGAGTAGAACTTCCCCATAGGGTTTCCAAGGCTGTAATATTTACAGAAAGAGATTTCCTCATCTTTCTCCTGAAGAGAGGATGGTGGGTTCAAACCGCCAAACTTTCAGTTAGCAGCCGAGCGCTTAACCACTGCACCACAAGGGCTCCTTAGGTTCTTTCTAGGGAGGGAAAAACCTACTAAAGGCACTGGAGAACAACCAAAGGCAGTGAGAAACCTTTTAAAGGTTGGAGCTGGGACTTTGAAGACCGGAATAGCATTGGATGAGTTTCCCACTTTTCAAATGCCCTTCTGACAGAGGGCAGGCCCCAGTTAGTGCCAAGTGATAAGGCTAAAACTCAGGTAGAAACACAGTCTTACTGGCTTAAACAGCCAGAGGAAAAAATGCCAGAGAGAACCACAGTGGGTGCCTCAAATCCTGGATATAAATTCTGTCTGACTTCTGAAATATACATGTGCAAAGAAGAATTTACGCAGCCCAGCTAAAGTTAAAAGACCTGAACATAGATTTCTGCTGCTACCCACCGCAGGGAAGACTGAGTTTGGAGCTTGAATTTAGCCAAGTTAACTTCCTGGTAAAACAATAACAACAACAAAAAAATTAATTCTGTTCAGAGAAATATATCAGAATCCAGAGTCTCTATAAAGAATAATTCACAATGTAGATATAACCCCAAATTACTGGACTTACAAAAAAAAAAAAATTAAAATGTGACCAATAGTCAAGACAAAAGGCACTCATTGCACAACTTTTGTGGATATACTAAAAACCACTAAATTGTATATTTTAAGTGCATAAATTCTGTGGAATGTAGATTGTATCTCAATGAAGCTGTTACTGGAAAAAAAATAAAAGGCAATCAAGAGGTCTAATCCCAAAATGACCCACATGATGGAATGAGCAGACAAGGTTTTAAAAACAGCTGTTATAACTAGGCTCAGCTATGTAAAGGAAAATATGCTTGTAATGAATAAACAAACCTTAGCAGAAAAACTGAAATACTTAAAAGAATCAAATGGAAATTCTAGAGCTAAACAAAAAAAAAGAAAAATACATATCTGAAATTAAAAAAATTCATTTGTGCAGAAAAGTTAACCTTGTCCAAAAAGAGGTCTAGCCTTTGCCCTCAGCTACTGGGAGATAATCTCTAAATGCCTGGAATGGCCTGTCTCTGATAAGAGTGTCTTTGTTTACCTGGGGGCCTTGGGCCCTGCCAGCTAGTCTATTCTAACGATGTGATGTGATTTATTGTAGGGGCTTTGGGCCACACAGTATCAGCTTGATGTCCAGAGGGGCTGGAAACTAAGGTCAGCCGTGTGAGCTGTCAACCATGTTTACGTGACCAAGCCCCAGTAAAACTCTGGACGCCAAGGCCAGGTGAGCTTCCCTGGTTGACAGTACTCTGTGTGTATTGTCACTCATCATTTCTGAGAGGAGTTAATGCTATCAATGACTCTACTGTAAGGACAACTGGAAACATCATGCTTGGAATTCTCTTGGACTCTGCCCTATGTGCCTCTTCCCTGGCTGGTTTCAATCTATATCCCTTAGCTGTAATAAACCATAATTGTGAGTATAACAGCTTTTGGTGAGTCCTTCTAGTAAATTATCAAACCCGAGGGTAGTCTTGGAGACCCCTGAACTTGGAATTGGTGTGAGAAGTGAGGGTGGTATTGGGGACTCCAGAACTCTGCCTCACTGGAGGATTTAACAGCAGATTGCAAAAGACAGAAGAGTTCGTGAACTTAAAGGTACATTAATAGAAATTGTCAAATCTGAGGAATACGGAGAAAAAAATAAAAAATAAACAGAGACTCAGTAATATGTAAGACAATATCAAAAGCCATCCTTTAGATATGCCAAGCTATTATATCTCAGTACCTTCTTTCACATTTCCATTCCATCAATGCCATTCCATTCTTGACCAAATCTCACCTAGTCTTCAAGGTCCACCTGGGTCTAACCTCCTCCAGGAAACTTTCCAGGCTACTCACAGCCTTCCGGGTCTCCCTTCTAGGACTTCCATGGCAACGCAACATTATTAACACTGTCTTTTAGGGAGGCCACTGCTGTCTTCTGTATTAGTTTTAGTTTCTCAACTAAAGTATAAGCTCTTTGAGGGTAATAATTTTTATTTTTTTAACTTCCGTATCTCTTAAAGTAACCATTTGAAATTTAAGCATATAGTAAAGATTCAATAAATACCTGTAATCTGCTGAATGATTACATAAAACCAAGGGCTTATTCCTATGGTTCTTATCAGACTCTCCAGATTCTCAATTCTGATCATACTGCTCTTCAGAGCTACCTCTAGGGATGTGCAAGATTTTCTCTAACAACCGTACTCAAGAAACATATGGTTAAAATATGCATTGAGGGCAGAGGGGAGGGAGGAGTAGTGCTAAAGTATAAACAGAGATGGATGTGCCTTGGTGTGGGAGATTGCATAGAAGAAGGGAACTGAGTTTATATTCTGCTGCTACTAATATCTGATACCGAATACCAATAAGGCCACCTTCTCCTTGTTCTCTCCCCACTCTGAGTCCCTGTGGGCACAGACCCAAACATGGGGCTCTGGGGCACAGGGATGAGTTCAGTTTTTACTTCCAAACACATCTGTACCTTCTATTCATTAAGGTTACCCACATCTGTTGGATAGAGAATCAAAATAACAGTATCTTCTAAAAAGTAGCCAAAGTTAACAATTACATATTGTCTTCTGCCATTACATATAAACTTCCCCAAATTTATAAATTTCTTACTTATAGATGAGTACTATCAAAATAGTGAGTGAAAATCTATCTTATTTAAATAGATCTTTCACAAAAATAATCTTGCATTTATATTAAAACCATCAATATCATTTGTGATATCATAATTTTGAGAGAGAAAAAAAAATACACTCCCTGTGAGGTTAAATTCACCAAGTAAAGAAATTCCTTTAAATAAAAACCCCCTCAAATTCCCTTCCATTGATGACTTCTGAGGAGCCTCTCTTTTATTTAAACCAAACATAGCTTTCTATCCTCATTTCATTCCCCTTCTCTCTAATTAGAGAAATCTGGTAGCTCTTCTCTCTAGACAGATTAAAAGGTTGGGGCGTGTTGTTTTTCCAGTATTTCAGAGTTCTAATCCTTAGAGCACTGTGATGACAGGAAGGACTATGTGATTCAGAGCAGGCAGGCTCCAAGGAAATTTATCTGAAGGAAAAATACAACATACACAATGAGAAGACTCTTGTGAATACAGACACACAGATGCCTGTAAAAGACAGTGGGCTACCCCAGCTATTTCCAGCCCATGGCATTGGCTCTGGAATCTTGCAAGCAACCCTCTTCTTACCCAGGTTGGAGGATGCTCGCCCCTCGGCAGCCCGGTCCTTGAGATTCTCAGCAATGCCCAGCTGCTGCTCATGGTACTGTTTCGCTCTCTCCAAATCCTGCATGCACCTGGCTGCATGGCCCAGGCCAGCGTAGGCCCGCATTTCAATGGCCTTCTCCATCAACTCCTTGGCTAGCTCCAGCACATAGTTGTGGTAAGACATGGCCTTGTCAAAGTTCCTCCGGTAGTGATAGGCACTGCCCAGGTTGCTGTAGGCCCGGGCCTCTTCTCGCTTGTTGCCCAGGTCCTTAGCTATCTTCAGGTGCTGCTCGTGGCACTGCACAGCATTCTCAAAGTCACCCATGGCAATATACACGGCTCCCATGTTGCCGAGTTCTCGGGCTTCCGAAAGTTCATCTTTGGATTGTTTGGCGAGGAGAACACACTGCTTGTGACTGGCCAGTGCGTTGGGGTAATCTCCAATGGCCGTATACACGTGGCCCAGACTGCTCAGGGCTGACGAAGCTGCCTGGGGAGAAAGGATAAGGCAGAGAAATGGAAGCACATCAGAAAACGGCTTTTGGTTTGTTTCTGCAGATAAAATGTTACAGAGTTTGCCTGAAACTATGCAATCCAACTCCTAATGGTGTTTCTATCAGTGGTCCACAGACCTCTGCCGAACTGATAAAGAGCATATCCAAACTGCAAGCTCCTAATAAAAGACAATAGTAAATTAATCAGTAACTTTCACTACCTAATCTCATAGAAACAGGTTGTATTCCATATAACCATCATGTTAGTTTAAAGATGCGTTGGCATTCCTAACTGAAATTATGATACTATATCTCCGTGAACACCTATTAACCTCTGTGGTATAAGAAAATGCTGAAGAAAAATCAAAATAAATTACTACATACAATATGGCATAGGAAAAACTCATGTTTGGCTCTTTGCATTCCTTGGCATTTCTCTATTCTTGTCTTCCCCTAAAGCAAATGGAGACGCTGATGATAAGGGAGAGGTTTACGATGCTGACTGGTAATTTTGTGACCCAGGACCCACTGGAGGGTCCTGTTCTCTTACTTTGTTCCTGCAATGTGACTTCATCAGTGCTGGCTACTGAGGGGGGCTTAGATTTGGATGAGCACCAGAGGAAAAGAATGGGTGGGTCTACATTAAACCTCACCACCTCTTCTCAGGCTTACACTGGCTCTTGAAGCTTTTCCTGCCTAGAGGCTCTTCTGATCTCAGCCTCTCTTGGAGGGAGATGCTGTCTTCCCAGACCCTTCACACTGCTTGCCACTCATCCATTTCTTGCCCAAAGAAATGTACACAGGCCCTTTTTGTCTCAAAGGTTTTAATGAAAACAACTCTGCGTAGGTGTAGTGAACTAAATGGTAATAACAAAGGAGATGTCAACACGGGTTCTAGAATCTTACTCAGTGCGCACAGTCTTAGATTCTAGTCTTCATTTTCAAACTTTTCTTCAGAGATACAAAAGGGGAGTTATGCTGTGCTTTTTCTGCCCTTTTTATTCTAAAAGTTGGAGGCTTGCCTGCCCTTCCCTTCCTTCATACTGTGCCTAGCTACAGCCACGTAGCCCCTTTTTTCATGCTCTCCCTCCTCTAAGGTGAACTTGCGATCCTGGCAGAACAAAAGGTGTGCTCTGTCACAAGTAGGTAAATGAGCTATCTTCCCAAGGGCCCCCAGGCTAGGGAATAACAACAGGGCTGCTATACCTCATGGAGTAAGGGCATTTCTTTATGAGATGCACTCTACATCTGTGCACTTCAGAACATTTGCATTAATATTTTATAGACATGAGTGATGTGCTACCTTATTTCTTCGCCTGTAAAACAGCAGTCCTTGATCAAAATAACTGAAGAATGACCATCTTTAAGGTGCTTGCAAATAGTGTGTTTTAAGTTGCTTTTTTTTTTTTTTTTTTCCATTTCACAGATGTTCTAACAAAAGATTTAGGAAAATGGAGAGGAAATAAATGGCTAGAAACGTCCTTTTTTTGTTTTTGTTTTTCTGAGTGGTGGAGTGCAGAAACCATTCCTAGGACGTCACGCAGCTGGAGCAGTGTGCTTCTGGCAGAAGCAGCAGTGATGTCACCCAAGAGCACATCTCCTGGACATGTCCTGGCCTCAGGTTCCCACATGGCAGCCTCTTTGGGACTATTTGTACATGGGCCTTTATACTGCCCCCTCATTTGCTTCCTCCCCTGCCTGCCAGACCCCTATTGACAGTCTTTCCCTCCTTTGCTGCAATCCCTGGGATTCAGCCTCTTCCCTCTGCTTCAGTGGCTGACCATTCCCACCTGACTCTTTGGGGCTCTTCTCCACCCAAGCCTGGCTGGGGCACAGAACACAGTCCACAAATCCTCCCACCCACAGATTTTCGTTGCCTTCAAAGTAGAACACACAGGCTCTTCCACAATGGAGTGAGTGTAGCTAAGAGTCAGACACACCTGTCAGGACTACACTGCCCTTTACTAGCTCTGTGAACTTTAGCAAGTTACTTAACTTCTCTGAGCCTCAGTTTCCAGACAGACATTTTAGCAAGCCAGGAATGGAGAGTTTTCAAACCCAGTCATGAGCCCCTGTCAAATGTGTAAACCATAAATAATTCACTAGATAATTCCAAATAGTAGATCTGGTGGAGGCAATGAGCCCTTGAACACTGCAGGGTATGGATTTATAAGGCTCACACAGCACCCCAGGTGGCACTGCTCTCAGGAACTTCTGGTTTCTGGCAACTCCCAATGACAGCCTTGGGATCTTCTGCCTCTGGTTTTTTGTTTCTCTAAGTGCCAGGGGGACATAGGAGCTCGGTTTCTGCAGTGCTCTGAACATAAGGAAAGGGGATATTTGGGCACTTCCCTCATGGGTGCAGGGGAGAGAGGAAGACTGCTATACTAGCTTGTCCCTGGCCTCCTCCCATTACCAGGCAGCGCTGTCAGGCAGGACTGCTCATGGTGGGTGTCCTGGAAACCAACGTCTCTAGAAAGGATGATGTGATTCATGGTGTACACGCCATATCCTCTGAAATTCAAGAGGCAGCTTCATGCAGTATAAGAGCAGAATTTAGAGGCAGAGGCCCTGACTGTGGAACCTTGATAAGTCATTTCACTTCTTCACCCTCCTTTTCTTTCTTTATTCTTTTGTTCTGATGATAATACTGTACAGACTTCACAGGGCTGGGATGGGGTGAGATGAAGGAGTGAATGTGAGGACCCCTAGTAAACTGTAAAGTGCTCTATGAATGCATTGCTAAATTGTGGATGGATGTTTTATGACCGCAAACCGGCAGTGCCGAGCTCTGTTACACCAAGCAGAAGCTAGTAATGGCAACTAAAAACATCAGTTATTATGACCAAACATCTATATTCCTGTCAGTTGCCATAGGAAATGAAGTCCAGTGTTTTACAGCCCGTGGGCAAATAACATGTGATGATATTTATCAGCTAAGTGTATTACAAATTAATCCCTTGTCTTTGTTCCTGTAGAATAAGCTTAGATCTGAAACATGGTTTCAGGCTGTTAATGAGAATCTGAAGAACCGCTATCTACGGGGAATGGCAGGCCCCACCTCAAGCAGATGCTGCATTTGCCACTGAAGCTCGAGCTGCCTTTGTATATTAATCTCTCTGAGATCTTTGTGCTAGAATAGCAGCAGCTGCTTCCCACAGTGGAAACATTCTGGAACATCTGTATTTGAATACTAAAATGCACACAAACAGTTACGATAACAAACTATCTGGCTGGAATAAGACAATGCTCTTCTCTTTCTACAAGACATAAATTGCTGGTGCTCTCACCAAAGTGTAATTTACAGTTGCAGACTTAGACACTGAGGAGTAAGTCACCCCTTGCTCTGTTGCCCAAATATTTGCGGAACTGCATCTGACAAGTCAGTTTCATAGGAAATGGAATAGAATAGGAAATTTGCTCATATTTCTTCAAACCACCTTTAAGAGTTTTTAGTTTGAGAAATAAAAAAGAAGTTTAAAACCCCCCAAGTATATTATTATACTGATGACACTATCATTAAACATTATGCTGCAGATAGGAAGTGTACCTGTATCTAGTCCCAGAAACACTGCTTTTCTTTTTTACTGCTCCAAATCTATATGCACCCTGTATCCCCTGCCAATTCAGTGCCTGTGAATCCAAGATCTGGGTTAACCACCCATAACCCAGGAGGCAGAGGGATGTAGGAAAATATGGATGGACTCTGGAATCAGGCATGCATAGGTTCAAACAATAAACTGTGATATTACACAAGACACATAATGTCTTGAAGCCTCAGTTTCCTCACCTGTAAAATGGGAACTGTAATACCTGACAGAGCCTTGATGAGTAGTAAATAAGATAGTAGTTGTAAAGAACCTGGTTCAGTGCTTGGCACACAGAAGTGTTTGAAAATTGTTCATTTTAGTTTCTCTTCCTGCCCCAATCACCAAGATAATACCCCTTTAGCTTTATTCATTTCAAATATGTGCTAGAGAAATTGCCAGGAAATAGAACATGAAGTTATGTCACCACAACTAGAAAAATGACACAAGAACCTTAATGGGAAGTATCATCATCTTCATATTCTAAAGACCAGCTAATTACTCATGTTACTCTTCTGCAAATGTATTCATAAGAAAATTCATCCTTCATCAAGGGACATTCAGAATCATTGATTTATCTAATATCTAATATTGTCAGCAACACTTCGCTTCAAGTGGTAAAAGCTTATATGTACAATGAAGTCTGCTAGTTGGATGATTCATTTTTTCGTTCATTCATGTACTCAAACAAAATTCTCTGGAACCTTCTATGTATTCTATAATGGAAAATACAGGGCAGAACACTTTGTACCTGCCTATGAGGAGATCACAATCATGGAGTGTGCACAGAAAGACAGAAGTCATTCCATGGTCAGTGCTACTAAAGATTTATGTACAAAGTGTTTGGGAAATACAGAAGAAGGTGAGATTAATTCTGACTGGAGGTGAAGGAGTGGGAAAGCCTTATAGAGCATGTGATGTTTGATCCTTCAAACTGATTCTAATGTTTATATGGAAAGGCAAAAGATCCAAAAGCGCCAACACAATACTGAAGAAGAACAACATAGTCAGAGGACTACTACTCTCTGACTTTAAGACTACTATAAAGCTACAATAATCAAGACAGTATGGTAATGGTGAAAGAACAGACAAACACATCAATGGAGTACAACACAGAACACAGAAATAGACCCACACAAAGATAGTCAACTCATCTTTGACAAAGCAGCAAAGGCACTTCAAGGGTGAAAGGACAGTCTTTTCAACAACTGGACAGCCACACGTGAGAGAAAAAAAAATGAATCTGGACACCAACCTTATACCTTTCATAAAAATTAACTCAGAATGGATCATGGACCTAAATGTAAAATGTACAACTATGAAATAATCTAGAAGATAACACAGGAGAAAATCTAGGTGATCTTGGTTTGGTGATCAGTTTTTAGACACAACACTAAAAACAAAAACAA